TAGAGTTTTTAAACCAGGCATAGATGGCACCATACTTTTTACCAGACATGGATCTGTCACCTCCAACGGATTATGACAAAACACTCTGCCTTTAAAGACCTTCCATGTCTGGCCTACCTTACTTTCATTGTCCTCTTGCCTCTACCTTGGCCCCTAACATCCCCTAAAATACTTGTTATTCTCCCTAACATCTCTTTTTAGCGTCAATGACAAGTGCGGTACGAATTGGCAAACTAAATAAAATACTGCTTTTGCTCCATTATATATGAGACCATCCTTCTCACCCAAAAGTCTTCTATTATGTGAAGCCCATCCAGATATCCCCATAGAAATCATTCTTCCCTCATCCAAATGTGCACAGCCCTTGTCTGCATCTTGTGAATTATTCTTATCCCTTTCCAGTCTATATTATGGCAATTTGTGCATATGTTTTATTGACCTACTTGAGAAAAAGATAAGCCGGTTTATCCCAAAGATCCTAGTATGATGGTTTTATATATAGTCAGTGTTCATTAAACATTATTGGAGAAACGATTGAATGAATAAATACAGTATATATTTCTTCAGAGAGACTGTGCTCCTCCCAGAAGTCTGTTGAATCCAGGATATCTCAAAAACTAGGAACTCAGGACCTTCAGTACAGTTCTACAAAGGCTTTCTCTTCTTTGCCAATCTCATTAGCCAGAAGCGGTCTCATGCCATGGCTTTTGGTCTAAAGGTAATACTAAAGCCTAGAAAGAATATATTGTTGGCATAATTTCTATTCTTAACATATAAGATATCCATTTTTCTTTGTATAAAGATGTCAAAACAAAATAATGTGATGTTATTTTTTAAGACTACATAATACACCTTTTTTATCATGTGTATTTCTCAGTCATCAAGAAAAGCATTCCTGGCAAAGACATAAATCCAATTTTTGTAAGTCAAAGGCTTTGTTCATTGCAGGGAACTTATGTGAATCCCTGTGATAAGTCCTTTGGAGGGCACAGAATTCATCTACAAAGTTAAAAGAATGATAATGGGAACATTGTCCTTCTCCCTGTGCTTCTAATGTTAAGAGATCTATGTACCTTGTTGAAGGTATAAAGATGAAAAGAAAAAACCCTTGAGAACTGCCGCTGTAAAGATTTCAATTTTAACAAATT